TTTTGCAGCAGTTTTAGCTTCAACGGAGCCTAAATTTTGTCTCCTTGTTAGTCAAAATAAAGACAACCATAACGAGTACATATGTTATAACTTCTTGGTTTTTATAATTTTTCCATGCAATAAATCCTATATTGACGAAGCTTTGTCTCCCTCTTTAACAATGCGGAGAAGGAACTCGGCCGATATACAGCCTTCTTACGTTCGGGCTTGGAGGGTATTGCAACTATAGGGGTATATGTGTGATGAATTTCAATATAGATATTGTTTAGTACCTGTTAAACTGCCATCCTCTGAATCCGTTTATCCTCCAAAATATAACATTTTTATTTCTGCATGCCTAAAAATATCAAGAATAATATATTTTGCTTTATTACAATTTCGATGAAAATGGGAAAGATTTCATATTCACGAGTAAATACCAAATTCTAGTTTAGAGATTAAAATTGCTCTTCTACTTCACACAAGTTCGTTTAATTGCTTGTTTCTTTGTTTTGGTCTAATTTTATACTATATATATATATATCTACATATTTTAATATTTCTGTATTCTGATCAGTCCATCCTGCGATTTAGTCATTTATCTTTCAGTGGAGAACACTCGCTATTCGCAGTTCAAAATCCTCTTTTTTCCTCTTAGCAGTACAGACTCTATTAAAGGCAAATGAAATTGAATCGAAAAGGATGGAGACAACCCACGAGTCATATTATTTTTGTACCAAGAGGACATATTCTTTTGATTGCACAGATTCATTTTATAAGGATAATTTCACCCATAAAACCACAACAATATTACAAGTGCTTCCCTTGTTTTCCTAATGAATTTTCTCGCAAAGATCCCTACTCATTAATCCAATTCTCACCTTCAACTCTGAATTGCGAAAATGTGATTTCCCCCACAAGCGTGTAACAAAATGATAAAACTTGGTAACAAGAGCAGTTTCGAAGAAGCTGAATATTATTATGAGCTTATCGAACTGGAAACAGAAAATTATGTATTACTCGTTGAATGTGTTAATCATGGATTTATTTTGTGTGCATCGCATTTCACTTTTCAATCGACAAGTTGGGACTGGACGTCAAATAAATTTATAGCTTTTCATTTTCGTCAGAGGGGAGTATGGCACAAATATAAATGTAACGCTGTGTGTAAATGCCCGGCAGCCAAGCCCTGTCTTATGGACTAAATGTCCGACAGACAGAAATTCTACCGTAAGGTTCTTTCAAGCTTCTTAAGAGTATCACACCCTCATCCATGCAGACGTTTGTTTAGAAATGTCGACGAATTTCAAAAATTAAGTTTCTTTTTTTAGCAAGCGAATCTTAGTCGAGTCTCACGTGCAGAGCGTTTGATGCGCTCGTGAAGTCATTCCTAAACCGTTTCCGGTTTACTGTCACGTGCTCGTTGCACTCAACGTCAAGGACACATCAAGAGCCGTCACGCGACTAGAAAGAGCTGCCAGTAGTTACTGTTAAGAATAACAAGCAGAAATAAAACCCCTCGAGAGAGGCTCAAGCACATATTATTGAGTTAACACGGACCAAGAATTGCGATAATATTTTCAGGTGCACCAAATTAAAAATAATCACCCGATAGCAAGCAAACGTGAAGCACACTTGAAACGTACTTTAAAAACATGAGGCAATTTTCTTACAAATCGTCAAATGAAGAATTTATGAAGGTGGAAGTTAATCCTATATTAGAGAAAACAGTCTCATTTGTTTAATTTTTTAAGGTGTTTTATCAATTCCAATGTAATTCTCTCAACAGAAATAAAGGACTAAGTATTAACAAGAGAATGTAAATTAATTTATTCTTGTAATATTACAAATAAATTGGTATAATTTAGGTTGCTTGCATTAAAAATTTTAATGGCAGCGGCAGAAAAATCTGTCACAAGCAACAACTTGAGGACGCAATAAATTCATAAACATAGGCCTGCTACTCGTGTAAGAGTTATATTTTAGGATGGGGGGGGGAGAGGGTTGGGTGGAGAAGGGGCACTAAGAAGCTATAGTTTGTTTTGACCCATGTGATCTCCGTGAACTATTTATAGTTCTGTCATTAAGGATTTCGGGTAATTTTCCGCTGTTTCATCTGAGGGATTTCGGACAATCTTCCGCCATTCCATCTTCTAGGATCTGGAGGCAATTTTTCCGCCATTCCGCCATTCCTCCGTACGCCCACCAGGGAATTACTTAGACCAGACAATTTCTTTCAACTCGTAATTTTTGGCCTGGTATGGACGATGCGACAACGTGCGTCGTTAACCAGCCTCTTAAGAGTCACTGACCATAAATATCGAATCCGTCGACAGGTGCAAAATTT